AAGGCTCTTTCATCATAACAGAACAAAAGTTTCATACTCTCATCGACTTGATTAAGATATCAAGTTTGGGAAACAACAAGAACTACTTTCATCATGTAGGATATAGATGAAAAACAACTAGTTTTTTCTTTGGAGAATAAGAACAGTTACCTTGATGGCAACCTACTTCAAGCATAATTCCTTAATAGAAGAATTTAGCTCACCCATATAAAAAACGTAGTCCACACCAGAAAATAACCTTTTAGATAAGGTAGTCACAAGATAGACACAAACATCTGCAAGATTAATCAAATCCAACTTTCCTTGAGCAGAAGAGACATTAAGATGTCAGGGTAAATTTCCTAGACATTTATCCTTGACTATCAATCCATATGCACATAACCTAGTTAAGATGCCTTCATAATCCTTCAATAGAAATCATACCACAACCTTCTTCAGAGAAGAAACATAATCCAAGCTCTTGAACTCCTATTTAAGCAGATTAGAAATAAACCGACCTAGTGAATATTCCCCTAAGCTGATGGTGTCTTGATCTTCATCTTCAATAACAAACAAGAATAAGGAAGGTTTCTTGGATAGAAACCACAAGATCCTCCTGACTAGATGTCCTTTCAAGAAACTTCTTGAGAAAGTCCCAAACATAACGCATGTGTTTAGCAATCTGACCACATTCCACACAACTCCCTTTTCTAGAAATTTCATATCTTAGAATAAAAAAATTCAAAGCAAAATATGTCTTCCAATAACAAGACCACACACTCTTTGGTGACAAATATCTAAGGGCTGTCGTCCTTCCAAAGATCAAAGCAGTACCAGAAAAAAGATCTCCCTGAAGCTCACCCAAAGCTGACTAGGGTGCCAGCTCTGATGCCAGTTGAAATTTTCTAGCACTTGAAACATATGATGGAGATTCTGATGTCCCAACATCATAGTACAATGTCAAGACAGATGTTGTGACATCTTAAGTCTGACAAAAACAATATTTTGAAATCCTTAATTATGCAAAAACTGTAAATTGCAGAATGATAAATAATACAATCAATTGTTAACCAATGCAACATCACCTACATCTGGGGTCATCCAAGCCAGGAAGGAAATATACTATGATAACATTAGTTCAAAGCTAAACTCGCGTGTTTACAACTTCTCGCCTAATCACTACCTTATGCTACTTCTATCTAGAAATCGCTATCTAGATATGAGATCCCTCTATCACTTTCTAACAAGCAGTTATAATCCCAATGACCATGCCATGAGAGACCAAAAATAAATATGTACCCTCTTTCTACTACAATACTAAGTCAAAACTCTTGATCAAGAACAATACTTATTTTTGCTTCAAAGCTTCAACCAAGAACAATACTCGACTCTATTACTTAAAAGCTTTAGAGTGAGAACAACATACAATAACCAATATGTCTACCATGATGCATCAAACGATGCAAAGGGTGACTTACAAAGTCACACACAAGAGATTCTCAAAACATAAGTTTCAAAAACTTCCCCTAGTTTTTATAAAAGGTGAAAGCCGTAAAATACATTAGATTTAGGTCTTCTTTAAATACTCTTCAACAGTCCATGGGCTTCAAAATCTTCACCCAATTATAGCTTGATCCACACGCTGAGAGCTGCATCAATTATATATGCAGAAAAAATCTCCTTAAATCTTGAAACGAATACAATGTTTCCTAAATTGTCTCATTATTCAATTTTGGCAACTTGTGTACAGCTGAAGATACAAAACTTGTTCCAGATAAAATCTTCTTGACCTACGTAAACTACTGAGATATATCCAAAGGAAATATCATAGAATCAAACCAAATCTGTCAAGAATAAAAACAGCCAGAACTAATGTTCTGGTACAACATGTTACGACATCTGTTAGGACATCAACTGTAAACCATGTTTTATAAAAAATGTTACCAATCCTAAAACCATGTAATCTTCACTTACAATTTTTCCTTCCTTGTAAGAGCACTCAAGAATTATTAGAGCTTTTTATTATAATTCAAAGCATTGTCTTTATTCAGGTTTATCTTTTCCATTGTTATTTCTTTGGTTTCATATGCTTGCTATGTCTCTACTTTGTTTAATTGCGGTCAATCTCACTATGAGCGAGTATTCCATTAGGAGACAAGGGGTCGTGAGACCTATCTCATGGAAAACCCAAATTGAAATTCCTTTCTTTTCTCAAATGTCACACATATTTAGGAATTTCTTTATCATCCCCGTGAATTAACACTTAGTTTTTCTTCTTTGCCTCATTATAAATTAAAATCATTTCTAGTTTCGTACTTATTTGTTTATTATGACAGCTTCATTGGCTGCAATTGCATTTGGATTGTTTCTTATTTCTTTTATCACGACTATCTTCTTTTCTTTAAAATTATCTATCCTCCTCTTACTCCTTAATTCCCTCTCTCCCTCCTTCCAATCTCTCAGTGTGGGTTTGAAGTTCTTCTAATTTTTTTAAAGTAGCCTGTACATTTTTATAATTTTGTATTTCCATTGTATTTTCTCTTTGATCATGCAGACCATTTAATTTAATTTTTTTTAATTTAGAAATTAGGCTGACTTGTTGTATGGCCCATTAATAGAATCTCTCTATGTTGATTCATTCAAACATGCATCTCCGCGATTACCTCCTTCCAATAAATTGCTTTCCACATATCTATTTTTGCCACATTCCTCATAAATTCTTATCGTGCCTACTCCGCCACTCCCAACAGATTCTTCCACTTGTTTTAAATGATACTCACATAATTCTTCTGTGATCCAGATTGAAAAAATTTCCTTGTTTATTTGAATTTTGGTGACTTTGTTGATAAATTCTACCATCGAAATTCTAATGTACAAGCGCGTAACATCCAATCTATCCATATTTTATCTGATACATTTTGATTAACCTTTTGAATGAGAAAGCCAATAAAAAAAATTCCTAATCCAAGCATGAATAGGTATACTATGTAATTTGACCCATATGTACCGAGCACCCCCTACATTTTTCGATTCCCATTCTCTAACTACAATGAATTCCTGTTGAAAAACAATTGTATACATCTTTCAACAAAGTTTTAAATTCCTTATTTTTATCCACTTTCAAGAATACTTTTTTTCCACCTAGGGGAAATACCTTTACGAAGACAATGCCTTCCTCCACCATTTCTCATATTGAATTGTTTCTACCTCTCCTGTATTTCTAATGATTCTAGTGAAGTATTCCTTAGCCCACACTATGTATTCATCCTTAATTGTTATTGATAGTGCATTGTCTTCCTTATCACCTCCTTTACAACCACTTGCATTTTGTTTCTGTTAAGAGTCTCACATCAGACAATATATGGCATGAACATGTGTTTATAAGTGGGGGTAATCCTCACTCTACCAACCGGTTTTGTAGGGTTGAGTTAGGCCCAACCACATTTCTTAACATGGTATCAGAGTCTGGTTTAAGATCCGGTGGACCACCTTCTATGGTTTCCACTATCGGACCACCCACCATTTATTTTCACGCTTCAGTTGTCTAGTCCTGAACGTGAGGGGCGTGTTAAGAGTCCCACATCAGACAATATATGGTTTAAATTAAACCTTCTCTTTTGATGTCATATTGTTTCCATATGTTGATAATAATATTATTGAGATTATTACCACCTTGAACCTTCCTTATTAGGCTTGTATTGTATCATTAAGTATTTTCTTGTGATTTCTACTTTCAACCCTTCCTCTATTATGCCTCTCAAAAATTGGAAATGTTTACCCAAGTCTTATAAGATCCAAAACATATGTCTTTGATTTTTTCTTCTGATAATTTCTCATTTTTGAAATTTGCGTATCTCATGAATCCAAACACTTTTCCCATCTTATTTCTTTTTTCTATGTATACATCAATCACTTTTCCCCATCTCTCAAACATACATTCGTTCTGCTTCTTTGCTGCTAATATCTTTTGGAAGATTATTGATGTGACATGTAGTTGTCCCATATGTAATGTAAGTTTGAAATTGTTCAACCTTCATATGCCTGGTTGTGTCCCTTGTGGTAAGTACTATCTTCTAGAGTATGTGGATGGTTGTACATCCAATTGTTATGAACATGAGTTGTGTAGAGATTAATATTCCATCGAGGTCCCCAATTCTGATTGTGGACATGATATCTACAAGGGTGAGGAGAAGGTAACATTAAAGATTATTCTTCTATGTAGTGGAATGTGTTTGTAGTGTCATCTTTTTCAATGTTTCTGAGACTATTTGGTGATTTGATTAGGGGGTTATGCATATTTTAACTATAACTGACATAGGAATATCAATTTCTTTTTGGATCATGTGTATTTTAGAGCATTACATTTTTAATATATGTTTGGGGAGTAAAAGTTGAAGTTTGAAATGAAGATGAGTCTTAAAAGTGTTTTAATATAAAATATATAACTATAAAAGTTTAGCAAAAAAATATATGATCCTGATCGTCATGTTTTATTATTTTAGGACAAAAATTACTCTAATTTTATTTAAAGGCCCCCGCAAATATTTTATCTACAAATTAGTTATTGAATAAAAAATAACAAACTCTCGCGTTTAAAAATTTATCTATTACAATTGTTGCAAATTATAGGTGGTGCCCAAAGAATTTTCACTTAATTAATATATCCTAACTCATTATCTAATTTTTTAAATATTATTTCCGTTTACAAAAACATGTTAATGTAGTTAATTAATTTAAAATTTCTTTTAATATAAAGATAACTTTTCAACAACAAAAAATAAAATGTATGCTTAACTATTATTCATTTTTGTTTGATTATTTTTTATACAAACTTAACTTTAACAACATAATTGTCATAAAATATATAACATGCATATTAAAATTTGAATAAATACAAATAATAAATATAAAGGAGAAACATACACATTAATATTAGTTTTTCCGCTACTAAATATAATTATACAAGACATATTTTATTTATATAATAATAAGATCACATGATATTTTTGATCCTCATTTCATTAGTAATTCCACAAGCTATCATTGACCACAGGAGCAGGAGCAGGAAAATCAGGTAGCAATTCTTGATTTCCATACCATGTTGAAAACATGTCATCTCCATATACAACTGATGAGATATCAGCATCAAGATCTCTCCCAAAAGAAAACTCATGTTGAAGACTTTGCTTTGAACTTGATCCATAATTTTCATTCTCCAGTTGCATGCTCATCATAGATTGTTCTTGAGACACGAAATGGTTTTGTGTTTCTTCAACAAAAGGGTAATCTCCAATTTGTTTTGAAGAGGTTGAAATGTTCATGATACTAGCTTCATTGTTGCCAACAATATTGTTGTCCTGTGTTTGATTTGGAATGGTGAATGAGTTGATCACATAAGAGAACTCACCATTAGTGTATGGAGACGAATCCATCAAATTAGATTCATTAGTATTTGATGGTTCTTCTATAGAGGAGTTAAACTTTCCATGTTTTGGACCACACATTTTCTTTTCAGAACTTTCCTTCTTATAGATTCTACTGATAACCCATTCACCCTATATAAAAAGGTAAACCCACAATGTTAGAAGAAAACAAATGTTTTTCAAACAAAAAAATTATTTTTCTCAATTTTTTATAAATATTTTAATAAATGAGAAATTTTAAATAAATAAATAAATTTTTTTATATGAGAAAATATTAAAATTACCGTTCCTCTCTCTGATAAAATATCCTTAGAAAGTGTGTTACCCTCCAATCTATATTCATGCATGATCCAACTAGTTTTTACACCACTTGGAGCTCTTCCTTCATAGAAAACCAATGCTTTCTTCATTCCAATCAATAAATTTTTGTCAAAAATCTCTTTATCTCTTCCTGTGGCCTTCCAATAACCAGCAGTAGTGGCTCTATTTGTTCTTTGACCAGTCGAATATTTTTTGTCCCTCACACAGAAATAGTACCACTCCGTTTCTCCCATTTTTGCCAATTCTGAAAATATAAAAATAAACAAAAAATATTATTAAGCATTGGAACATATCATAAATACAATTCCGGCACATAAATAATAATAATTTCATAAAATAAAATAATTAAATTTAACTTCATTAATTAGTATTATGTCGGTGTAGATTCGAATACTTTATCATTTTTTGATGGTATATATTAATTATGAAAAAATATATAATAAGGACGTAGTTTTTCGAATTCGTAGTACTAATATAATATACTAACAACTAATTAATATTAGTTTGTAATAAAATAATAACATTGATATCACCTGGCAAATCCCATGGTTCGCACTTATTCATATCGACTTCAGCAATAGCTATAGCAGAGAAGCTATTGTCATGAACCTTCTTGACAAGATAATGATTTATGAGCTCTACGTCGGTCGGGTGGAATCGAAAACCCGGGGGAAAATCAAACTTTTTGCTATCCATTTTTGATTCAGAAACATTAACATTCGATTCCATCCTACACCAGAGAAATAATGTTAAAACAAGAAAATATGATTCATAAATTAAGTTATAATTAAAAGAAATAATAGGATACCAACTTATCAATGTTTGAAAAGAGAGTGAGATGGGATGAGAAAATAAAGCTTTGGTTGAGTGATGGGAGATTTTTTTTTCTTCTAAGTAATGAAGGTATATTGTTGAAAGAATACAATACTCCTTATATAGAGATCTTTTAAGGATGCATAATGTGGTTCATTAGAAAAAATAGGAGTATGTCCAAAATTGAAAGGTGAAAATTGTGAAATTATGGTTTTTGGAATTGCTTGAGTTATTATAGTCGGTGATATCAATGCTTATTTAATTAAGATTATACAATATTAAAAATATATAATTTGATTTTTGTATATAATTCTAAATATTGAGATTAAATTAGGATAGTTTGATCTTGATCTAATAGATCTTAATGCTAGAGATGCATAAATGCATGAAACCTAAAGTTCGGAAAAGTCGGATTTGAATACCTAAAAGCGCAAACGGTTAAATTTCAAGTTTCAATGCACTTTTATTGAAATAATATTTATCATGACTTAATCAAGATGACGTTTTAGATAAACAATACTCTACTGACCTGATTGTCGTTTATTGATAAAAAGCCCACGGTATAATTGAAATGTATTTCTTTTTATGTATAAACCTAATATATGATAATTTTTAGTTTGTTTGAATGAAATTCTTGTGAACTCAAGGGATGAATATCCAGTCACGTTCATCCTCACTAAAAGAATTTATCATTTCTAAATTTTATTGAAACTCAAAACTAAACCTAATATATATGGTAAAGAAACTATTGATATTAAAAAAATTATATTGTCAATTAATCATAGTTGTCAAATTATTTAAAAAATATCATTTAAATTTTAATCCAATTGTTTCAAAAAGTCGCATATATAATTAGTTATGTAATAATTTTTTAAATATAATATATTTCTATGCTTAATTTTCAACATTTACTGATACCCCTATTTATGGCTTGTTTGTTTTACTTAAAAAAATATTTTATCTTTTATTTTCAAAAATATTTTTTATAAAAACATTTTTTATAAATATTAGTATTTTATATAAATTTATTTTTTATAAATTAAAAAACTAATTTCGACATCATATAACATAAATATACATGATTGAAAATGTTAACATAATTGAAATCACAAAATTTTAAAAAAATATGTATCTCAAATAATTTTTATAAAAATATATTTAAAATAGCTTCAAATGTTAATATTTTTTTTTAAATTGATATTAAAAAAAAGTTAAAGTGCATAGATGAAATGTCTAAAATAATATTTTAAAAATAACAAATTAAATAAATTTTTTATTTAAAACTTTTTAAAATAATTCTTTATATTTTTTAAAATAAAAATATTTAATACTATAAAAATCATTTAAAAAAATTGAAACAAGCGGGCTCTTAGCTAACAAGCAAATTTTAATTTTAAGGACAATAATAAGGAAATTTTACCCCATACCCCTACAATTATACCCATACCCCTACACTAAAAATATTTGGATCAAAATATTCTCGTATAAATTTTTTTTCGTTTGTTTAACGGAAGACTTTAAGTATGTCTTTCGCTTCATATTTTTTTCGGTTGTTCACCAGAAATCTTTTTGCAAGTCTTCCGGTTCACATTTTTTTTCGTTTGTTCACCGGAAGACTTTTTGCAAGTCTTCCGGTTCACATTTTTTTTTCGTTTGTTCACTGGAAGACTTTTTGCAAGTCTTCCGGTTCACATTTTTTTTTGTTTGTTCACCGGAAGACTTTTTACAAGTCTTCCGGTTCATGTTTTTTTAAATTTTAATTTTTTTTAATATTAAACTACAAAGATTTAATGTAAATAAATAAATAATTTGTTTTTGTTTTTCTTTCAATGAATGCTTGGTTAACTGAAAACTAGACAAAAGATAATATTAATCAAATAGTTCCGAACTTCTTTAGATTTCTCCTTCTAATTCATTGGAGTGTTCATGCTCTTGCAATTCTACATGTGTAATTGTTTCAATATTTTCTATGCCGACTTATTTTTACAACGTTTTGATCTTACTTAACTTCCATTTTATTCCTAGATAAAGAATCAAGCGTAGGTCTGCATAGAAGAATTCGGATTTTTGTCTATGGTTAAAGTTTTGTTCATTTAACATGATATTTTTGGAGATGAAGATGTTTTCGACTTTCACTAACAAATAATACATTCTATTCTATGATAAAGTTTCTACTGCAATCGTAGGAGAGACTGTTGTGCAATCTTTAAATTTTGATCTATAAAAGGGAGTTTTTGAAGCTTGTTCAAAAAGTTTTGAGAGATATCGAGGTTGAGGAGAGGAGTGATTTTGTGATTAAAGAGAAGCTTTAAAATAAATAACATATTAAAATATTTGTTAAGTTGAATATTAAAAAAAAATTAAAAATTAAAAAAAAAATGAACCGGAAGATTTGCAAAAAGTCTTCCGGTGAACAAACGAAAAAAATATAAACGAGAAGACTTGCAAAAAGACTTCCGGTGAACAAATGAAAAAAAATATAAACCGGAAGACTTCCAAAAGGACTTCCGGTGAACAAACGAAAAAAAAATATAAACCGAAAGACTTCCAAAAGGACTTTCGGTGAACAAACGAAAAAAAATATGAACCGAAAGACATACTTAAGTCTTCCGGTAAACAAACGAAAAAAATTATAATTATTTATACAAGGGTATTTTGGTCCAAAAAATTTTTAATGTAAGGGTATGAGTATAATTGTAAGGGTATGAAGTAAAATTTCTCAATAATAACTAACTATCTTTGTAACCCAAGAGTCATCATTAAATCACTATTTCGAAATATATGACCTAGTTTCTTTCCCAACTCTTTTATTTATATACTCTCAACTCTTTATTATAACACTCTTTCACAAAATTTCAAAATTTCAAATATAATAAAAAAGTATTATACTATTAAAATTATCAAAGTAATAGTATTACTTTTTTATATTTTAATATTATAAATATATTTTTATAAAGAAATTATTAATGATATGTTTCTCAATAATACTTTAATAATTGTGTTTTTTTTTATAAAGAAGTCATTAATGCTTATTAATTGTTAAAAAATATTAAAAACATTGAAAAAAAATAAAAAAGTATTTAAAAAGGATAAAAACATATATTTTTGACTCGCATCTCCTTTATTTACAAGAAAAAATTCATAATTAAACTCAAGTATTTAATGCTTTCTTCTAAATGTACTTTTTATGCAAGATTTTAAATTACATAGACATCTCATCATATTATCCATGCTTAAATTTTATCAAAGAGTGTTTCCAATAATAAATAATATTTTTGGACAAGCCTATCATATATGTAGCACCTTAAAAAGTTATTTAATAAATAAATGATAGAATTATATAAAATGTGCTTAAGTTATTTTGTTTTGTAATAGGATGGTTTTTTAAGGTTCTTTTTACTAACTTGAGTTTTTAGGGTGATTTCTGTATTCTTTTTCTTAGATATTGAATTTTTAAAAATGTGTGACTGTTATATTTTTGGTTATATTTCATCATTTATATATTATTAAAAATAATTACAGGTACAATTAACACTTTTACTATATTAAAAAGGACTAAATTATTTAAATAATATTTTTAAAAACAAACTATTAAAAAAATATCTTAAAGGAACTTGAAATAATATTTCCTAAATAAAATAAAAAATAAAAGAAAAACATGAAAAATGTCATATTTTAAATTTATAGTAGTAGTTTATAAGTTTTTATGCTTTAAAAAGAAATAAAGGACCTATTGGTGTTTTTTTTTCTTACTAAATAAAATAAAAAAATAAAAGAAAAACATGGAGAAATATTTTTTTTTTCATTGTCATATTTTAAATTTATAATAATGGCTTATAAGTTTTTATGTTTTAAAATGAAACATCATTTTCTCACAAATTTATAGATTATTTTCACCAACTTGTATTTTCTATAACAATTTATTGATTATACAGGGGTGGTAAAGTGGGCGGTCTGTCTCTTTTAAATATGTCTCTTTTAAATCTGTATCATTTAAGTTTGTTCAAAAGTGTGACAGATAAATTTAGATGTTCGATCTTAAATGTTAAGCGTGAGCTGTTAACTAACGTCGACCCGTAAAAAAAAAAGTTTGATTTACTACTTTATTTACAATTTTTTATAAATAATTTACTATATTTATAATTTAGTTTACTATTTTATTTACAAACATTTAGACTATATAATAACACACACTTTTGAAAGTCACTAAACAATAAAAAATATGAAAAGTTGTAGTATTTTACTAAACAATAATTAAAAAAAACATTACTATTTCATTACTTCTCAATTTTTTAATTTTTATCTCATAAGTTTATTGGTTTTCATAGTTGCAACTTGCCACCTCCGTCACCATAAGCGAAACAACATGAAAATAATTTTTTTAATTCATTGTGACGTTAAACATAAGTATTCAAATTCTCGATTTTTATTAACAAAGAAAAAAAAGTGAATTGGCATCCTCAATACACTACTCAATTTTCATTCTAAATAAAAACAATTTTAACAAAAAAATATGCGGGCAAAATCTGCTCCGTCTAGTTTTTAAAATGAGTTAGGTGGAATGGGACAACCTAAAACACCGAGTTAAAAACCTTAGTCTAACTCAAAAATAATGAGTCAAATTGGTTGAATATGACACATTTTCCCACCACTATATACAATATCCTTGTTGTCTCTCAATCTTATCCATATTATATTAATTAAAAATAACAAAAATAGGAACTCATATGTTATTTTAGATTTAGTTCAATTACTAAATTTATTAAATACTACAAACTTAATCAATTAATATAACTTATTGATAAGTGATAAAATGTACTGATTTTGAGTGTAAATAATTGGTATTTATTGGCTTGATTCAACCAATAAACCTCAACTTTTGTGCATATGTTGTATAGTTTAAATTATAGTGTATA